AAGTGTATTATTTAAAAGTTATATTTTATTGCATTTTATTTTTTATTTTCTTACCGTCATTTTCCTTTTGTTTACAATAGGTGCCCAAAATTGCACAGCATATTCAAGGTGTGGTCTTGCCATTGATTTCTAACAAGGCAAAATTATATTCATTCCGACAATTATTTCCCCTTTTATGCAAGACACTGCCTTACAAGCCTTAGCAACTGCTGATTGAAATCAGGGTGTACCGCCAATGTGGCAGTATAGGGCCCAGGCTGCACATGGGCCAGACGGGTGAATGTCCTGCATTCCCAATGTGCATATATATAGCAAATATTGCTCTATATATTTGCACCTCAGGGACTTCCGGACCACTGGTGTCTAGTATAGTAGAGAGATGGCCCAGCAGACAACATCTTTACCTACCTTCACCAAGATGGCTTTGCCCTCTCTCTCCATCCCTTTTTTCCTTATATCCCCCCATCCATTCCCTCTACATTCATCTCTCCACCATATTCCCCTCCCCTGACTAATTCTGGTATAAAGCAGATTCTGACTAATTCTGGTATAAAGCAGAGTTCACAGATGCGAACACGAAAGTGAACTGGGGATGTGAAAGAGAGTGATGGGTATGAAAGTGAAGGACCTGGGTATCGATGAAAAAGTGAGGAGGAATGGGGAAGGAGATATGTGGAAGGGCATGGGAGGGGGCATTTGGGGGAGTGAATGATGAAGTAGGGGATTTGAGGGAAAAAGGGATGGGGAGAGGGGATATAGAAGTGGGTTTGGGGAGGGTAAATTTGGGTTAGAGAGGGATGGGGAAGGGGATTTGAAGGAGGGATGGTGGTGGGGAGGAGAATGAAGTCCACAATCAAATAAAATGGGACATAAAGTCAACATTTTATGAAAACACGGAAAACACATCCATGAAAACACGGATGATCTCAAGCACAAAAAATATACTTTTGAAATTGCCTGCCACTTGAGACTGCTTCAATCTGGATAGGCAGGTAGGGATATATAGGGGAGCGATATATTGGAGATGGGATGTAGAGACGATATTGGGAAGAGAGGACGGGTGACTTGAAGAAAGGAGAGGGGGGAAGACTCAGACTAAAGTACACTTAAGATTAAAAGTATACTTATTGTACTTGAAACCTTTAGTGCTTTTATGAAGTATAATAATACTTAAATAAAATGCTTACATATTTTTTTTTACATGTTTTACATCTTTCTGGTGACTTATAACAGACAGTAACAGATGTAGCCATGTTAAGCTTTTTTTCACCTGAATTCAGTGAAAGTAGCTGGTGTTTCTTGCTTTACAAATCCTTTATTTTTGCTAAGAGAATAGGATAAGATTTATCAATATTATCAGTCAGCGTTTGCATGTCAGCAGGACCTAAACACAAAAAAAACCCATACACCCACTTGGAAATTAGTATTTTATTTTACGCAGAGAGTATTCAGTATTTTCAGAAAGAAAAACTAATGAAGGTTATAATGTTTCAGACAATAAAGACATGGAGGGATTACTGTTGTAAAAGTACTCTACTTTCATTCACTAAGAAGTTGTTAGCGTCCCCTGCTTTGTGCTAACATTATGACCATAGCCACTGTCAGGGCCGGATTAACATAGGGGCTGATGGAGCTGCAGCTCCAGGCCCATGGAATAGGCCCATTTAAAAAAAAAATACCAGCAATACAAATGCAGATATATAAATGGAGATTGCCGGTGAAATAGCTCAGTGGGCTAATACAACAGCAGAATCTGTTCTAACCCTTGGGGGTTGCAGGTTCAAGTCCCGGCAGGGTTGACTCAGCCCTTCATCCTTCCGAGGTAGATAAAATGAGTACCATTAAATTGGGTGATAGTAACAACCCCTGGATGTTGGGCTAAGATAACATCCCCAGGATGTACTTGGAAACCAGAGCAATCTGAATGTACCTTTCCTGGTTAAACACTTTGTTATTATTACTCTGCAATACCAGCACCAGCCAGTATGGGTCACTGTGTGTGGAGAGAGGCAGGGGATAGGAAGTTACAGCATACCCCTCCCTGCCTCTCTCTAATCACTGATCCGCGGGGGAGCAGCTACACAGCACAGAGTTCAGACAGCAGAGGTTTATTCACTAAACTCTGAATTACACTAAAGAGACATTTAGGGAAAGAGGCGCACTGAGTAGATATTAAAGGGAAACTATAGTGCCAGGAAAACAAACTTGTTATCCTGGCACTATCGCGTCCCCCTCCGTCAAGCGCATCCCCCCTTCGTGGTGCAGCAGGGGTTAAAACACCTTCTGTCACTTACCTGGGTCCAGCACAAATGTATTTTGAGCTGGCTTGGGTCCCCCATAGCTCCTCAATGGCCGCGCGCGCAGTGGTATTTCCGTGACTGGACGTCCCCGTGCATAGCCACTAGAGGAGTTAATTATTGAAGTTTCTTAAAAATTGCAATAATTACCTTTACAGTGTCACTTACACAATCTCACTAATACACACTTACAGATTCTAACTCTAACTTACACACTAACACATACACATTCTCACTGACCTACACATTGTCACTTGCACACTCTCACTAACACACAGTCACCTACATACTCTCACTTATACACACACTCTAACACCACACAGTGTCACTTACACATACTCACTAACAATGTCACTTGCACACTCTCACTAACACACCCACCCAGATTCACATGCAGATTCTCACTACCAGACACAGTCACTTTCACACTCTCATTTACACACTCTCATTAACACACACTGTCACTCAAACACAAACTCACACCACTTTACATAAAGTCACACCAATTTAACACATTCCCCCATTTACAAACATGCACACAATAAGCAACCCCCCTTAACCATGCCATAACTGGGTGCTGTGATGAGAATATGTCCAGGCAGCAGGATCCAGGATGTTGCTCTTTCTCCTGGGGGTGCAGGAGAGCCATGCACTGTGAGCACAGGCTACTTCCTGCTCCCTTCACAGTGCTTCCGGTGTTCACAGGCTCCCCCTGCCTGCAGAAAGCACAGTGCTCTGCTCGGGTTACAGCAAACCCCACTGCCCAGCAGGTAATCGGCTGCAGAGGGAGCCCAGCAGGTGAGTCGCTGCGCTGGGGGGTGGCTAAGGAGCCACTCACCCAACACAGCATCCCCAGACAGCTATAGCAGGGCAGCCCACCGGGAAACCTCTAGATGGGCGCCCCCAGAGGCTGGCGCCCTAGGCGAATGCCTTTTTTGCCTTAGTGGTAGCGCTGGCCCTGACGGGGGGGGGGAAGGCAGCAGGGACACATGGGGACACTGAGACACTAGGGGACACTTGGGGACCCTGGGAAACATGGATACACTGAAACCCTAGGGGACACTGTGAGACATGAGGACGCTGACACACATGGGGATGCTGTGAGACATGGGGACATTGGGAGACGCATTGGGACACGGAGACACATGGGACACAGTGTCTCCATGTCTTCCAGTGTCCCCATGCCTCCCAACCAGTGTCCCCTAGTCTCCCAGTGTCTGTGTCCCCATGTATCTCAGTGTCCCCATGTCTCCCAGCCAGTGCCCCTAGTGTCTGTGTCCCCATGTCTCCCAGTGTCCCTATGTCTCCCAGCCAGTGTCCCAGTGTCTGTGTCCCATGTCTCTGTGTCCCTATTGTCCCCAAATGTCTGTGTCCCCATGTCTATGTCCACAAGTGCCCCCATGTCTCCCAGTGTCCCCAAGTGTCTCAATGCCTGTGTCTCCATGCCTCCCAGCCAGTGTCCCTAGTGTCTCAGTATCCCCTAGTCTCCCAGTGTCTGTGTTCCCATGTCTCTGTGTCCCTAGTGTCTTAGTGTCCCCAAATGTCTGTGTCCCCATGTCTCTGTGTCCCTAGTGTCTGTGTCCCCATTTCTCCCAGTGTCCCCATTGATTTCCTGCTTCACTCGACACTGCTGTTAGGGGGTATGTATTTACTTGAAAGATGAAAGCATAAATTAGAGAGAGATTAGCATAGGGTATGTGTTTTCTTAAAGCTGCATCCTTTGAGTTTCCCTCCATCAGATGTATGACTGTTTTAGTGTTTATGGTCGATAAGATTATTGTCATGACTGCTAGTGTGGTCCAGCACGCAGAACTATGTAACATCTACATAGACAGAACAGAAAATGATAAAACGTAAACCTGTTCTTAGAATGGCCGGACTAATACATTAAAAACAGAGAATGGTCAAGGGATAGCTGAGGTCAAGGAAGCCAGAAATATACAATACCATTTAAAAAGCCAAGTCAAGGAAGCCAGACATCAGAATAGTCAGGAATAGCCAAGGTCAAAATACCGGGAATATCAAAAACAGGATGCACAAGAAAACGCACTCTCAGGAACCAGGAACGAAAACCACGACTGGGCAATAACCTAGGTTAAATATCCCACTGGCCTCTGACCCCAGAACGTGCGTGTGTGTGTGTGACCCTGAGGGCAGAGCTATATGTGGCCCCGACCGCGTGGTCGGCGCCATCTTGAATCCGGTCAGGCAGCCAGGAGAACCCAGCATGGCGGCTCCTGACTCGCCGCTGAGCAGGTAAGCTCAGTTCGTTGGCGCGCTCGCACCGGGGGCCGTGACAATTCTGTAATTAGGCCCCATCATAATTGTCAGCACCAGGCTCATTGGGCTCTAAATCTGGCCCTGGCCACTGTGATAGCTATGCACAGGGTGGGCAGAACTGTCACTGTCTCAGTTATGACTGCATTAAAAAAAAAAAAAAAGAGCACTATAAATATTACAATAATTCCCAACGAGAGGGCATCCACACAAGCTGTCAAGGGGGTGATCTCATCACTATTTATTTTATCTCCTGAATCTGCTGATCCGTTAATCCCCCCAGTACCTAGTTCACCTTTCATTAACGTAATCACCTGATTCTTGTTTCGCTTGATCACTGAATTCTTCTTTAAATTGATCACTGGCTTCTTGTTTAGCTTGATTACGAAGTTCATGTTGATGTGAATCACTGGGTTTTTATTTAGTTTAATGACTGAATTCTTGTTTAGATTGATTACCGGGTTCTTGTTTAATTTGATCACTGGGTTCTTGTTTAGTTGGAATACAGAATACTTCTTTACTATGCTCATTGGGTTCTAGATGAGCTTGCTTATCAGTTTCTTGTTTATCTAGATCACTGGGTTCTTGTTTAGCTGGATCATTGGGTTCTTGTTTAGCTGGATCACTGGGTTCTTGTTTATCTAGATCACTGGGTTCTTGTTTATCTAGATCACTGGGTTCTTGTTTATCTAGATCACTGGGTTCTTGTTTATCTAGATCACTGGGTTCTTGTTTAGCTGGATCATTGGGTTCTTGTTTAGCTGGATCATTGGGTTTTTGATAAGATTGTTCACCGGGTTCCGGTTTAGCTGGATCACAGAGTTTTTGTTTATCTTGATCACTGTGTTTTTCTTTGGTTTTATCACCAGATTCCTTTTTAACTTTTTCACCAGATTCTTCTTTAGTTGGACCACTAGTTTCCTTTTGAGCTTGATCATCAGGTTTTAGTTTATCTTGATCTCCAGATTTCTGTATAGCTGGATTACTATATTCCTGTTTAGCCAAATCGCTGGGTTTGTGTTTAGTTTGATTGCTGGATTCTTGTTTAGCTGTGTCACTGGGTATTTGTTTACCTTCCTCACTACGTTCATGTTTAGCTGGATCATAGGGTTTTTGTTAAGCTAAATCACTGGACTCCTGTTTATTAGCTAAATTACCGGGTTCCTGTTATTAGCTGAATTACTGGGTTCCTGTTTAGTTGAGACACCAGGTTTTTGTTTAGTTTTATCACTTTGTTCCTTTTCAGCTAGATCAGTAGGTTTCTGTTTAGTTGGATCACTGGGTGTTTGTCTAGAATTGATCTCCAGGTTTCCTTTTAGCTGGATTACTTTGTTTCTGTTTAGCTGAGTCACCGGGTTCCTGTTTAACTAGGTCATTGAATTTTTGTTTAGCTGGATCACCAAGTTCCTGTTTCACTAGATCACTTGGTTTATTTTCCCTGTTAGATTGGTCACTGGAGGTTTGTTTAGCTGGATCACTAAGCTTTTGTTTGGATAGATCACTGGGTTCTTGTTTAGCTGGATCATTGGGTTTTTGTTTAGCTTGATCATTGGAATCCTGTTTAGCTTGATCACTGGGGTCCTCTCTTGCTGGAGTACTTGGTTTTAGTTTACGTGGTTGCTGTCTTTGTTTAACTTGATTACTGGATTCCTGTTTAGCCGGATCACTGAGTTTTTGAGTAGCTTGATCGCTTGTTTCCTGTTTAGATTGGTCACTGAATTTTTGTTTCACTAGATCACTGGGTTCCTGTTTAGCTGCAACTCTGCGTTTTTGTTTAGCTTGATCACCAAGTTCTTGACTAACTGAATCACTAAGCTTGTTCTTATATTGATCACCAGGTGTTTGTTTAGCTTCATCATTTAGATCCTTAATGGGTATTACTTTAAGTACGATCCCTGGTGTCCTCTCTTGCTGGATCACTGGGTTTTTGTTTTGCTTCATTACTTGGTTGCTGTTTAGATTCATCAACAGTTTTCTGTGTAGCACGATCACCGAGTTTTTGCTTAGCTTGACCAGTGAGTTCCTATTTAGCCTGATCACCTAGTTTCCAAGTATCACTGTGTTTTTGTTTACTTTGATCACCAGGTTCGTGTTTAGTTGGATCACTGGATTTTTATTTAACTGGATAACTGCTTTCCTGTTTAGCTGGAACTCCGGGGTTTTGTTTAGTTTGATCACTTGGTTCCTGTTTAGCCAAATCTCTGGTCCTTTGTTTAGATTGAGCTCCGGGTTCTAGTTTAGCTTGAGCATGTTGCTTCTGGCTAGCTGGATCATAAGGCTTTTGAATAGCTTGATCACTGTGTTCCTCATGAGTTGAACCACTGGATTTTTGTTTAACTTGATCACTAGGTTAGTGTTTACCTGGATCACTGGGTTCCTGATTAACTATAACCCCAGGTTTTTGTTTAGTTTGATCACCAAGTTCCTGCTTAACTGAATCACTAAGCTTTTTTTTTAGGTTGCTCAATGTTTTTTGTTTAGCTTCATCATTGGAATCATGTTTAGCTTGATCAATGGTGTCCTCTCTTGCTGGATCACTGGGTTTTAGTTTAGCTTGATCATTGGGTTTTAGTTTAGCTTCATTACTTGTTTAAAGAGATCACTTGGTTTTTGTACAGCTTGATCAACAGGTTCGAGTTTAGCTGGATCACTGGACTTTTGTTTAGCTGGGTCACTGGGTCACTGGTTTCCTGTTTTTGAGTAGCTTCATCACTTGTTTCCTGTTTAGATTGGTCACTGGATTTTTGTTTAGCTGCAAATCCGGGTTTTTGTTTAGTTTAATCACCAAGTTCATGATAAGCTGAATCACTAAGCTTGTTCTTATATTGATCACTGGGTTTTTGTTTATCTTTAGCATTGGGATCCTTATTAGCTTGATCAATGGGTATTAGCTTAGTACGATCACTGGTGTCATCTCTTGCTGGATCATTGGGTTTTAGTTTAGCTTCATTACTTGGTTGCTGTTTAGCTTCATCACCAGTTTTCTGTGCAGCACGAGTTTTTGCTTAGTTTGTCCAGTGGGTTCCTGTTTAATCTGATCACCAAGTTCCTGTTTAGCCAAATCAGTGTTCCTTTGTTTAGATTGAGCTTCGTGTTGATGTTTAGCTGGAACTCTGGGATAGATATATACATCCCCAATTAGACCCAATAGTTGTTCCACAGGTGGTTCCATTTTCTTTCAGCTGTTGCTGATTGCTGGTTCAATTCCGATCAATTCCGATGTGACACGCGCGATGACGTCATGCATTCCAAATATGCGTTCCACCTTCGTTTTTACTATCAATTACAGTGGCAAGCTGAGATGTTTGCATAAAGTCAGCAAAAGACTGTTTCTAGGTGGGAATATAGGGGTATATACAAGGGAAAGTAACAAATGGTTAAAAGAAGTTACTAATCCATAGTAACATAAACAAGCTTTATTAACAAAGATAAAAAAAACACACACCATCCAAGATGAAACATAAATTAATACACAGGGACGAAACAAATTAATGACAGGGATGAAATGCATTGGACTAATACTGAACATATTTCTCATCTGCTATTATTTACTTTGATGTAAGTAATAAATGCTGTTTTTTGTACTTTATTTATACAGTCATTTCATCATTTATTTGCACATTACTCCTTTTCTGTATGAGATTAACATCTACCAAGTACTGAAGCAAGAAGACACACACCAATATATCTCTGAAGGCACTTTATTTGATGTTAAAGTGTGAGTGATCACTTGGCACTTAATTTTATATCTAGCATTATTACACACAGCGTTGCACTATGTCATATTTTTGCTTCCCTAGCTGGAATAGCCCTATACTATACATCTTTTCAAACAGTGACCAGGTGAGCATATATTAAAACAGTAAACGGTAAAAAAGAGAAACTATCCACAGCCAGTAGGACAGGAAACAAGACTGGAGAACATATCTGGTAGGAGGGGTGTTTATAATTTAATTACCTAAACAGGCAAGTGGTCCCAGCTAGCCGTATTGTGATGCTGTCATGGATTAACCAGGAAAATTACTTACCAGTAAATGTCCTTCAACCTGATCTTTCTGTCCAATATGTCCTCCCATTGGTTTCAGTGTTGCATCATTGTTGCTGGTCTGTTGTTTCAATGTTGTGGGTATCGCTACACTTTGAACAATTCCTGCCAGGACTTGTGCAGGGATTTTGTCTTTCCCGTCAAAGATGGAGATTGGTGCCCCCATAATTTCTCTTCACCTGTGTGTCTAATAACCCCTTTTTTCCCCTCTTACCCATCCATTTTCCCCTTTTGTGTATATTCCCCCCCTTTGCATATCTTATCCCGTTTGTCAATATTATTCACACTTTTGCATCTTTATCCCCTAAAGTAGTGTCTTAGTTGTCTTCTAGGTACTTCTTACCATTTGCAGTGGGCCAGCATTAACCTGGTCTACTATAACTGTTAGCCAGCAAGCGGCAGAAATGTTATTCTTCCCTAAAAGGCAGAGACTTTGGATTATGTATGCCATTTATTACGCCTTTCCCTTTAAAATGTGTGTTCAGGGCTGTGACATTGAGACACAATTTCAATGGAATTCACTCTGCTTGTGGTGTAGGAAGTAGCTGGTATTTCTTGCTCATTTCTTGGTTTAGCTATGAAAAAAGTTCAACATTTATCGATATATGCCTTATTTTTATATTTTTTGATATATTGATTTATTTTTTACATATGATACTTTTTTTATATTTAATATTTTGAAAAAATTATTTTAATTAAGGCCTAAAATCAGCAAAGATAAAAGAGGTAGGTTAGCGCTAATAATACAATAGATAGGCAGCGACCTTACAGAGGGTAACCCTCTAACCCTCTATGTTTAAAATGTACAACAAGAAGAAAGAAAGGCTGCGCCAAAAAGAGAATAATAGAAATACTACAAATGTAAAAATTACAATAAAAGATAAAATTATATTTTAATTTCATAACTTCTCTAATTTTATTATCATATTTTATCATGTTAATCTCATGCATTTTAATTTATTTTTTATATGCATGCCCATAACCAAGATGGCTTATTTTATTAATGTTTCCTTATATAGCTTTTTAACATACATATTTCCTAACCAATTTGTTGATAAATACCACCATCATTTTATGTTTTGTTTTCTTTTTACACCAATGTTAGATTTTAAATAGGGTTTTATTGCTTGATTATTAATATTTACTTCTTATAAATGGTCATTGGGTTTTAGTTTAGCTTCATTACTTGGTTGCTGTTTTTCTTTAACTTGATCACTGGGTTCCTGTTTAGCTGAATCACTGGGTTTTTGTTTAAAGAAATCACTGGGGTTTTGTACAGCTTGATCACCCTGTTCGAGTTTAATTGGATCACTGGACTTTTGTTTAGCTGGGTAACTGGATTCCTGTTTAGCGGGAACTCTGTGTTTTTGAGTAGCTTGATCACTTTTTTCCTGTTTAGATTGGTCACTGGGTTCCTGTTTAGCTGGAACTTAGTTGGATCAATGGCTATTAGTTTAGAATGATCACTGTTGTCCTCTCTTGATTGATTATTGGGTTTTAGTTTAGCTTGATCATTGGGTTCCTGTTTAACTTGATCAATGGGTTTTTGTACAGTTTGATCACCATGTTCGAGTTTAGCTTGATCACTGGACTTTTGTTTAGCTGGGTCACTGGATTCCTATTTAACTAGAAACCTGGGTTTTTGTTTAGTTTGATCACCAAGTTCCTGTTTAGCTGAATCGCTAAGCTTTTGTTTAGGTTGATCACTGGATTTTTGTTTAGCTTCATCATTAGAATCATGTTTAGCTTGATCAATGGTGTCCTCTCTTGCTGGATCACTGGGTTTTAGTTTAGCTTGATCATTGGGTTTTAGTTTAGCTTCATTGCTTGTTTAAAGAGATCACTTGGTTTTTGTACAGCTTGATCAACAGGTTTGAGTTTAGCTGGATCACTGGACTTTTGTTTAGCTGGGTCACTTTGTCACTGGTTTCCTGTTTTTGAGTAGCTTCATCACTTGTTTCCTGTTTAGATTGGTCACTGGATTTTTGTTTAGCTGCAACTCTGGGTTTTTGTTTAGTTTAATCACCAAGTTCATGATAAGCTGAATCACTAAGCTTGTTCTTATATTGATCACTGGGTTTTTGTTTATCTTTAGCATTGGGATCCTTATTAGCTTGATCAGTGGGTATTAGCTTACTACGATCACTGGTGTCCTCTCTTGCTGGATCATTGGGTTTTAGTTTAGCTTCATTACTTGGTTGCTGTTTAGCTTCATCACCAGTTTTCTGTGCAGCACGATCACTGAGTTTTTGCTTAGTTTGTCCAGTGGGTTCCTGTTTAATCTGATCACCAAGTTCCTGTTTAGCCGAATCAGTGTTCCTTTGTTTAGATTGAGCTTCGTGTTGATGTTTAGCTGGAACTCTGGGATAGATATATACATCCCCCAATTAGTCCCAATAGTTGTTCCACAGGTGGTTCCGTTTTCTTTCAGCTGTTGCTGGTTCAATTCCGATCACTTCCGGGTTCTGGGTGTTCGACGTCATCATGTGACATGCGCGATGACGTCATGCATTCCAAATATGCGTTCCACCTTCGTTTTTACTATCAATTACAGTGGCAAGCTGAGATGTTTGCATAAAGTCAGCAAAAAACTGTTTCTATGTGGGAATATAGGTGGGGTATATACAAGGAAAGTAACCAAATGGTTAAAAGAAGTTACTAATCCATAGTAACATAAACAAGCTTTATTAACAAAGATAAAAACACACACCATCCAAGATGAAACATAAATTAATACACAGGGACGAAACAAATTAATGACAGGGACGAAATGCGTTGGACTAATACTGAACATATTTCTCATCTGCTATTATTTACTTTGATGTAAGTAATAAATGCTGTTTTTTGTACTTTATTTATACAGTCATTTCATCATTTATTTGCACATTACTCCTTTTCTGTATGAGATTAACATCTACCAAGTACTGAAGCAAGAAGACACACACCAATATATCTCTGAAGGCACTTTATTTGATGTCAAAGTGTGAGTGATCACTTGGCACTTAATTTTATATCTAGCATTATTACACACAGCGTTGCACTATGTCATATTTTTGCTTCCCTAGCTGGAATAGCCCTATACTATACATCTTTTCAAACAGTGACCAGGTGAGCATATATTAAAACAGTAAACGGTAAAAAAGAGAAACTATCCACAGCCAGTAGGACAGGAAACAAGACTGGAGAACATATCTGGTAGGAGGGGTGTTTATAATTTAATTACCTAAACAGGCAAGTGGTCCCAGCTAGCCGTATTGTGATGCTGTCATGGATTAACCAGGAAAATTACTTACCAGTAAATGTCCTTCAACCTGATCTTTCTGTCCAATATGTCCTCCCATTGGTTTCAGTGTTGCATCATTGTTGCTGGTCTGTTGTTTCAATGTTGTGGGTATCGCTACACTTTGAGCAATTCCTGCCAGGACTTGTGCAGGGATTTTGTCTTTCCCGTCAAAGATGGAGTTTGGTGGCCCCATAATTTCTCTTCACCTGTGTGTCTAATAACCCCTTTTTTGCCCCTCTTACCCATTCATTTTCCCCTTTTGTGTATATTCCCCCCCCCCTTTGCATATCTTATCCCGTTTGTCAATATTATTCACACTTTTGCATCTTTATCCCATAAAGTAGTGTCTTAGTTGTCTTCTAGGTACTTCTTACCATTTGCAGTGGGCCAGCATTAACCTGGTCTACTATAACTGTTAGCCAGCAAGCGGCAGAAATTGTATTCTTCCCTAAAAGGCAGAGACTTTGGATTATGTATGCCATTTATTACGCCTTGCCCTTTAAAATGTGTGCTCAGGGCTGTGACGTTGAGACACAATTTCAATGGAATTCACTCTGCTTGTGGTGGAGAAAGTAGCTGGTATTTCTTGCTCATTTCTTGGTTTAGCTAAGAAAAAAGTTCAACATTTATCGATATATGCCTTATTTTTATATTTTTTGATATATTGATTTATTATTTTTTTACATATGATACTTTTTTATATTTAATATTTTGAAAAAAATTATTTTAATTAAAGGACCACTATAGGGCCAGGAAAACATACTCGTTTTCCTGGCACTATAGTGCCCTGAGGGTGCCCCCACCCTCAGGGACCCCCTCCCGCCCGTCTCTGGAAAGGGGAAAAGGGGTAAAACTTACCTTTTTCCAGCGCTGGGCGGGGAGCTCTCCTCCTTCGATCCTCCTCCGTTCCTCCTCCTGGGCTGAATGCGCACGCGCGGCAAGAGCTGCGCGCGCATTCAGCTGGTCACATAGGAAAGCATTCATAATGCTTTCCTTTGGACGCTTGCGTGCTGTCACTGTGAAAATCACAGTGAGAAGCACGCAAGCGCCTCTAGCGGCTGTCAATGAGACAGCCACTAGAGGATTAGGGGGAAGGCTTAACCCATTCATAAACATAGCAGTTTCTGCTTTTTTTTCCATACCTATATATACTCTTGATTTGCCAGGTTTTAATATTATTCCATTTTGATAAAGCCCTAGTGGTGAAACCCGTTAATGGTTTAAAATATTGTGTATTTTATATAATAAATGATTTTTGGCTAGATTTCTGCGCCATTATCTTTTTACGCACTACTTTATTTTATTTTTCCTGGCATTTTATTCATTTTCCAAAACCTATCCTCAGGTGGGGATTATACCACCAGCACTACTACCAGAGTGCAGTGACACCTGCACTCCATTTGTGAGTATATTTTATTTTTTCAACTATTACATCATATCATCAGAGAGCACTATTTGCTGTTTTTATTCTCCTCTTCTTCTGAGAGTTGGACATCATTACCTTCTGGAGGACAAGCATCTACATATCCTATAAGCGTGGATTATTCCGCCGTATGCCTGTTATACCTGAGCTGGCCATAGCTCATCCAAATGTGAGTGTAATATTTATATTTTAATTTATTTAACATTCACCTTATACACTCTGCATGATTAGTCCTCTCTTCTTGTGTCTTCCATATCACAAGACAATTTGAACTGCTAGAAACATAGAAGACATTCTACCAGCGAATACAGTGACTAAGTCAACCTAACCTCTGATACTTCATTGGGACAATTTATTTTTATTTTATTTTTTATCTTTTATTGTAATTTTTACATTTTTAGTATTTCTATTCTCTTTTTGGCGCAGCCTTTCTTTCTTCTTGTTGTACATCTAAAATCAGCAAGCATTTGCATGTTGGACGGCCTAGAACT